AAACGGGCGTTTGTTCTCTTGTTTTGAAGGTTTGTTGCGTCAAAGCAAATCAAAGCAGCCAATCAGAGGAACCCGTGTAGGACGTTTGCGCATTTGCGGTACGGAAAAAATAGACGCTGGCGGGGGCACAATATATAACCTTTCTTTGTGTTATACTGTTCTAACTGCATTGTTTTTAATTCAATTTTTTTTTATCAAGCATGAATTTTTAGTGGGGGGGGGGCACCTGGGGGGCAAAAAAAATTTGTGGGGGGGCACGTTCCCACCCCACGTCCCCCCCGTAGCTACGCTGTATGTGTTCACATCACTGGTCAGTCTGCTAGGCTGATTTGTTTCTTCAAGACAGCTAAACGTGTCGTCGGCGCGCCTGCGTGTGTTTACAGTCCATTCCCCGAGGAAGGCATGGAGTTCACGACACTGTGGTGCCGCGTGATACGCTGCAGCTGCCACCGGTGGCTGTTCCATCTCAGGGATTACCCGCGCCCCATGCTCGACATCAGTGAGATGTACGTGTGGGGTCGCCTCATCGGTGCCGAACAGGATGCAGCGAAGCGAGGTGTGTGCGAGAAGCGTGCGAGATGGGGGAGGGGGGGGCCTTCGCGTCATACGTTGTACCAGAGCACGTATATCATACATACGTATATGATATACGTGCTCTGGTCGTACCGCTGACGTACATAGCAACTGAACAGCTCTTTGTGGGAATTATTCGATGTCATGTCGGTTGGTGAAAAAAGTGGAATTATCAGCAGGGGTTGACAGTTGGGAGGTTGGACGTTTGGTCTAACAGCAAGCGTAAGCTTCATTCTTGGTTGACTAATATCGTGGTCAAGTGACTTCATCTGTTAGAATTTCGGTGGTAGAACAATACAAAACTAAGATTTTTTATATATATATGTGTGTGCCTGCGTGCGTGTCATGGGTGTGTATGAGTGTGTCTGTGTATGCGTGTGTCAATGCTTTATATGAGTGGAAAGCTGAATTAGTGTCATAAGTGAGTCACAATGACCCAGCATCATAACACAGCTGTTCCTTTGTTTATAGCAATACGAGAATGCACAGTGGAGGTTGGCGCCCCCTGGGCAAATATGACAGTCGAAAGGAAGATGCCAGACCTCAAGTTTTATCATGACCTAAGCTGTGGTAAGTTGCATCCTGCATTGACTACGATTACTGAATCAATATTAACAGGCATGTATTTGCAACTCCCTTTCACTTCCTCCAACTTTACAACTTCACACCCTCTCTGGCCTTATTCTTGGCATCTTGATCTTGTTATTTTCTTATATTTAAATGTAAAATAATATATAGCAAATAAATAAATATATATATATGTAATAAATGCTAAATAAATGATAATAAAATGTAATAAGTATAAATAATAATGCTAATAAATAATGTAAGATAATGTTTCCTTCAAGCAATGGTGAAGCTACACGGGGGTATGTTGGTACGACATTAAGTGCCAGTGTGATGTCATTGCGTCCGTCTCTGTGCAGATATAGAGCATTACAACATGGCGTACGGTGCATGCTGGGAACCGGCGTTCTCTCAGTACAACCTCGCCACAGACCTGATCATTCAGCGCTCAACAGATCCGAGCCCTCCGCTGCCTTACTGGGACAAACAGGTATAGTAATAGTATATAATAGTATAAAATATAATATATAGTATATAGTATATAATAGTATAATAGTAATAGTATAAAATAGTAGGAGCTCACCTTCCATTAACCTTCAAGTACCACTGACCCTCCAGCTACATGCGGTGTCTAGCCATCTCTTAATCTTCAGTGTGGTTGGTTATCTGGCACCTGTAATTCCTATTGAATTCTGACCCCATCACTTGCCTGCGTCTGCCTCTGACCTTCATCAGCCTCGTAGCAGTCTACTCTAACTATAATTATTTCACACTCGGTCATAGATGTTTCCTTTTTTTCCCCTTCTGCAGCGTCTGCTGCTTCACGGCCGGCTGACGGTCTCCATGGTAACGTCGGCGTGGCTAATGCACGCGTCGCGCGATCCCTACAACACGGCGGAGGAGTGGGATTGGACGTGGTCGAGTCTCGTGCTCGACTGGACTAACGGCAAGTGGGTGCTGAAGGGAGACCTGGACATCTACTGCCGCACGGAGTCGAAATACGACGACTGCCGCATGCTGCATCTTCCCAACCTCACCTACACGTGAGTGCATAGCAGGGCACACTCGCACGTTCGCTTGCACGCACGTACGCTCGCACGCACGCACGCACGCACGTCTACACACGCATGCACATGTACACATGCACTGGAAGTACATGTACAGATGTTCCCGCAACTGTTCACGAACAACGATACATGCACATCTACACGTACAGCAACACGATCATATGCGCATATAAGTGCTCCCACCTTACCTATTACATGCATGATGACATTCATTTTTACACTATTGTATGAAGTAATATATTAATGTATAAATGTATGCATGATGGCATCCATTTTTAGCTCACCTTGACATCGTCAAGCTGAGCTATTGTCATGGGTCGTCGTCCGTCGTACGTCCGTCCGTCCGTCCGTCAACATTTGGCTACGGTCAACAATAACTCAGGAACCGTTTGACCCACATGTTTTAAATTGGGTATAGTTGTTACTGCTATGCTCCCATATTAAACGTCCTATTTTGAAGCACGCCGGTCGACGTACTTTCGAGCCACGGCAATTTTTTGGCAAAAATGGGAATTGCCATTGGTCAGTTCAGGTTCAACGAATTTTTCTCATTTTTGGTATGTGAATGAATAAAAGCTAGGGGTTTTGATATTTAAAAAAAATATTATGCAAATTAGGTAGGTTTTGGCAATTATATAGCATAATATATAGACACGCAGATAACAAACAGTCTGTGGTGTCACACTCGTCTGGTTCGTTTTACAAGATTTCATTGACAATATCTTTAATGCAAAATTCCTGCTATAAACATATTATGATTTTTACTATAGTTACAGTATTATTATATTATTATTATTATTATTATATAATGAGGTAGTAGATGAGGTGGATCTATATATTATACTATAGTAAAGAGGCCGTAGAGAGAGAGATAAGAAGAAAGAGAGAGAGAGAGAGAGAGAGAAGCGAGAAGCAGAGTCGCGAGAGAGCAGGCAGTAGAGAGAGAGAAGAGAGAGAGAGAGAGAGGAGAAGATGTAGAGAGAGAGAGAGAGGAGACAGATCAGAGAGAAAGGGAGAGAGAGAGAGAAAGACAGTAGAGAGAAGGCGAGAGAGAGAGGGGAGAGAAGAGAAAGTATAGAGAAAGATAGATAGAGATGAGAGAGAGAGGAGAGAGCAGAGAAGAGAGTAGAGATGAGATGACGTAGAGAGAACAGAGAAGAGCGAGCTAGAGTAGAGAGAGAGGAGAGAGAGAGAAGAAGAAGAGAGACGAGAGATAGAGAGAGAGAGAGAGAGAGAGGAGAGAGAGAGAGAGAGAGAGAGCGAGAGAGGAGAGAGAGAGAGAGAGAGAGGGAGTGATGAGAGTAGAGAGAGAGAGAGAGTAGAGAGAGAGAGAGAGATGGTAGAGATGAGACAGACAGACAGAGAGAAATTTAAGAGAGAGAGAAGAAAGAAAACAGAGAGAGAAGCTAAGCGCGAGAGAGAGAAGAGAGATACTGAGAGAGATTGATGAGAGGAGTCTGGACGAGAGGAGAGAGAGAGGTGAGAGAGAGAGAGCGACGCTAGAGAGAAGCAGAAGAGAGAGAGAGAGAGGACGAGAGGCGAGAGAGAGAGAGCGAGAGAAGAGAGAAGAGAGAGAGAGGAGAGAAAAGAGAGAAGAGAGAGAGAGAGAGGACAGAGAGAAGAGAGAGAGAGAGAGAGAGAGTGAGAAGAGATAGGATATAAGAATAGGAAGAGGCACGTCAACACAATCGCTTGTTTGACAGAGAGTACTCAGGAACCGTTGTTCTGGAGCAGCACGGGCATCACAGAGCATGGTGGTCGTCAGGGTCCC